TAAGATATTTTGAAAGAAAGCTGAATAATGTTACATGTAACCTTTGACTTTCATAGTAGGTAAAGCAAATAATATGTAAGTCAATGGTTACATGTTTCCACCCTTTATCGTTTTAAAATGTTTTCTTTTGTGGAGAAGAAAGTCAAACAGGTTTAGAACAGGTAAAGAGCAGATTTAATTTTCACTTTTGAGTGAATTCTATTTACATTACTATCCCTGTAATGTAAATAGAAGAAAACAACGTTTCCTCTTCGATATTTCTCCTATTAGTATCTCAGAATGAATACATAGCTTACATTACTTTAACAGGACCGCATTGTTGTGATGCCTGGGAAGAGGGAAGCGAGCGAGGTGAATATGCTCATGTAAATTTACCTCTCGTTAAGCTCCGCCCCTCTCTCCTAATCCACCAATCTAGACTCCGACAGTTTGTCAAGCCCCGCCCGCCTCAGCGTGAGCCTATCAGAATGCGAGGAGCAGCTGGATCGTCTTCAGCAGGTGGAGCTCGCGCGCTCGGCGCCCATGTGTCGTTGGAGGGCAGGAACCGTGCAGGCGTGGCTGGAAGTGATTATGGCCATGCCGATGTACATGCGCGCCTGTGCCGACAACGTCAAAAGCGGGAAGGTAAATGACAACCTGTCATTTTATTACTTAAACAGTTGTCTACGTCATTATTCTCTAATCTATTGCGCACTGCTGATCATATCAGCTTTTAATGCTGTAGGGTGTTTCAACAAGCAGTGTTTGGCATGAATGTTCAATCTGTGTCTTTATTAGGTCTTGTTAGTTCTTACGGATGAGGATCTGGGAAATGTTTTGGGAATCAGTAACTCAATGCATCGCAGGAAACTCCGTCTGGCCATTGAAGATTACAGGGATGCTGAAGCAGGACATGGGTGAGACATGCCATAAGACAACAACAAAAACATAACAGAAAATTCACTCATAGAGGAAACCCCTACAGTCCTCATTACTGACACAGTCAAGGTCAATTTAAAAACATCTTATTATTCGATGTTTGTAATGACAAGGCATGTTAATAGTTCAAAAAAGTAATTTAAACACTTTTATGTCACAATCAAACTAAAAATTATGCCAGAAAAGAAATCTGCCATCATTTACTTGCCCTTCACTTGTTTGATTTTCTTCATTCTTTTGAACATAAAAGAAAATATTTAGGAAAAAATGCTGGTAGCTGCGACCCGTCTAAATGTTTTCAGTTTTTTTTTCTTATTATGGAAGTCGATAGGTCTCAGCAATCAGAATTCTTCAAGATATCTTCTTTTGATTTCAACTGAAGAAAGAAACTCATAAAGGTTTTAAACCACATAAGGGATAATATATGAAAGGGAGACATTGGCTTTTACAGAGTTAGCTTAGCAATGCCAACAGCAAACAAAGTTTGGGGACTACAAAAAAAAAAAAACAAAAAAAAAAAAAAAACATCCGGGTTAGTGAAATCACAAACGCTTCAGGTCATGTGCATTCACCATGCGCATATACCCTTAGGGTGTGGCCCCAGATGCGCTGTAATGTTATTGCAGAGAAAGCTAAAATGCCGTCCAAATGCTGCTATTTCCACCAAGCTTCTTCTGTTTCTGTATTTGGGCTTTCAAAGGACACAACACAAAGAGAGAAGTGCTTGCAATTTAATTTCAATTACGTTCCAGAGAATAAAAAATATATAAAGCTAGCAAATGACAAAGGACAGCTTCCAAAATCTCTCAGTTCAGTGCTGCATTCGGCTAAAAAATCCTCAAAGAAGGAGCAGTTCCACGACGGAGACAACGGAAAATGCTGTTTGGCACTGTTAACAATTTAGCCACAAATTCATATTTATGCGTCAAACCACTGTGAACAGCCACAATCATCAGCAGCCACCTTCCCTGCATTCTACATCTCAAATAACAAACTAGCAAAAGGTATGTGACATTTCATCAAAGTGGAAGAAACTTGTCAGATTTTATTTTAGAAAGCAGCTGTGAGGTTCAGCTGTGTTCAGCTCCTCATTTTCTGTCCGGTTCAGGCTCAAACTGATATGGTTAACAGCAAAGAAAGCGTGTGCTTGTGGAGACATTGTTCACGCTTTTCCTGGTGACATGGAGCCGATCTGCGAATCACAGCACAATATGTTAGCTGACCAATCAGAGCCTCTTGAGGTCGGACCTTCGGAAGAACTAGGAAAAATGACAGTCGTTTTCATGTTAGCTGAGTAGCAGTAAATAATTAAAGTAGGATATTTTTTCACAAATGAAGCATGAGCACACATTGCTTTGCATCTTATAAACACAACCAAGCCTTAACAATACACTCTAGACCACCCCTTTAAGGTTCAGGCAACCAAATGATAGAAGTTTCCAAAATATCACAGAGGAATTCTTTATAAAAAAAAAAGAACATGAATGAAACAAGCTGTTTAATCTAGGTCCTGTGAATAGATACAGTCACTTTACTGTATATAATGGATTGGTTTGAGGGTGAGTAAATGATGACAAAATGTTCAATTTTGAAATGAAAACAGCATTGAACACCACTGAACAGTCATGAAATAACTGTTTGGTTTTGAACTTTTAGTATTTACTTAAACCATTAAAATGTCCTAAGATTGTATTTTATATATTTGTTAACCATATTTAAGGTAATTTAAACACACAGTAACACAAAACTAAAGCTTGATTATTGAACAATGGTATTTATAAATTGTATTAATTTTTTTACACATACAAAACAGATTTTATTCCTACTCTCAGTGGACATATTATAGTTACCTAGTACTGGGTTGCAGCTGGAAGGGCATCCGCTGCATAAAACATATGCTGGATAAGTTGGCGGTTCATTCCGTTGTGACCATCTGATTAATAAAGGGACTAAGCGGAAGAAGAATGAATGAATAAATGAATTGTGTGTCTCAGTCTTTCTAAAGCAGCTGAACTGGATCATCACTGGGTGGCTCAGGCATGGCTGACTGATGTGGGTCTCCCTCAATATTCCCAGTTCTTTCACACTCACCTTGTGGACGGACGTCTCCTGAGTACCCTCACACGTGCTGACTTGGAGAAACATCTGCACGTATCTAAAAAAGCCCACCAGAACAGCCTCCTGCTGGGAATACAACTGCTACACACGCTTAACTTTGACAAAGAGGTAAAAACACACACATAAACCCGAAGAAGAGTGTGCTGGGAATTCCCACAGGCACTAAAGCTTACCAAAAAGGAAAAACAACCATAACAAACATCATAAAAACACAGCAAGCTTCTATTGAGCACAACAGTTGGGTTCCAGAAGCAAAGGGGCATTCATTTGCTTTAAATAGGAAACAGATTTTAAAGACAGCCCTGTTGTGAGCTCAGACTTTATACTTGCTTTTGTTGAGCACATTTGTTCATAATAATTGAACTTATTTTTCAAATATTCATGTTTAATCACATAGTTCATAAAACTCATAAAAATACCATATATATGTATTAGTTATTTTGGTCATTCACAGTGAATATGTTTGTGCAGTTATGTTAGAATGCATGACCATTCAGTTTACAACACCTTGAATAAAACAGGGAACAAATAAAAGAGGATGTACATTGTTTATTTATTATTTTGTAAAAGAAGAGTTACAAATCATTTAACACTGGTGGCTTGACCATATTGTACACTACCTTACAAAAAAAGTCTTGTTGTTGATCCCAGCTGTAAATGCAACAAATAATTACTTGACTTCTAGTAGATCATTTGGAAAAGTGGCAGAAGGTAGATTTTTCTGATGAATCCTCTGTTAAACTGCATCCCAATCATCACAAATACTGCAGAAGACCCATTGGAACCCACATGGACCCAAGATTCTCACAGAAATCAGTCAAGTTTGGTGAAAGAAAAATCATTGTTTGTGGTTACATTCAGTTTGTGGGCATCCAAGAGAGGTATCAAACCTGAGGTATCAAGACATTTGTGCACCCCATTACATAAACCACCAACCACAGAAGAGGGCAAATTCTTCAGCAGGATAGCACTCCTTCTCATACCTCAGCCTCCACATCAAAGTTCCTGAAAGCAAAGAGGGTCAATGTGCTTCAGAATTGGCCAGCTCAGTCACCAGAGATGAACATTATTGAAAGAGGAGGCATCCAAATGAATCCTAATAATCTTGATGAACTCTGGGAGTCCTGCAAGAACGCTTTCTTTGTCTTTCCAGATGACTTTATTAATGTTACTTGAGTCATTGCAGAGATGTATGGAGAGATGTATGGATGCAAGATGTATGGATGCAAACTCATGTTAGTCAAACACAATATTCATTCTTTTTCCACTGCACCATGACTTTATATTCTATACTGTACACTATTTCTGTTAAGTGACAAGACTTTTGTCTAAGCAAAGTCAGACCTTAATGTCCTATTTAAATCATTAAAAATCAAGACATGATTATAATTTATTTAGGTAAAATAAGCGTAATCAAGAGGCCTTTGCCTTTCATATAAGCCACTTCTGATACCAAATGATCAATTAGAAGTGAAGTTATTATTTGTTGTTCCTAAAACCCTAAAACTTGGATGGGCGACAACGCAGTGTACCTTACCAAACTGTAATTGAATTGCCATCTCATAAATTTAACTTTTAAGAAGGACTTGAAATTAGCAAGAGTGTTTTTTATATTGTTTGACATTTTTAGAATTGTGGTTCTGTCGCTTATTAAAGTTTTAAGTGCACAGACTTCTACCTTTGTGTCAGATTGTCATACAAGTTTTTGCATTTGCTGTGATTCATTTCATACAGTAGCTGGTTTGTTTGGTTCATTGCTTGTAAAATTTTAACAAATGCATTTAGATTAAAAATCCCTGTGGGGAAAATAAATGATAAAAATACTTCCTGAAGCAGCTCTGCCAAAAGGCAGACAGGCACTAATGCACTTTATAGTAAGTAAATGAAGTCAAACACTTGTTTAACTAAACACACATGTTTTTTTTTTTACTGCAGATTTTGCAGTCCAGACGTTCAGAGTGTGAGAATCAAAACACAGACCCTGCCGTCTGGACTTGTCAACGCATCATTAAATGGATCAAAGAGATTGATCTGAAGGTGCCAAAGAGAGAATACAGCTATGCTAGATGTTGGTGTGTGGGGGGAAAAACTGAGAGCAAAAAGTGTCTTTGTGTTTTCATTCAGGAGTTTGCTGACAATCTTCAGACAAGTGGAGTGCATGGTGCCGTCATGGTGTTGGATCCTTCTTTCAGATCTGACACCATGGCAACAGCTTTATGTATTCCAAGCAACAAGCACATGGTCCGTCATCACCTGAGTGAGGAGATGAAGGCTCTTGTCAGTGCAGCCAGGTGAGAGAGTCACTGACAGTATGTGTCTAAGAACACTACAGATGAATTCATCACTGTTGTTAAAGGACCCATGACCCATGCCTTAATATTTTTTTGACATAGGAGAGGTCTTTGTTTTATTATCAACTTGCAAGTTTAAACCTTTAAAACATTCTAATCATTAACAAAGTATTTATTTAATCAAGCCTTAAGAGGATCTTGTTTGCCAACAAGGTGCCATGTGATGTCACAGGGGTGCATTCATTTGCATATACACTTCCTCCACCCACTGGTATTCGGTTGCTCAGAGCACTGCACTGGATGCAAACATTGTATCACATGAAAAGAAATCAAATAAAAAATCAGGGCTGCATTGAACATATTTTAAAGGGCACATAGTTTACCCCTTTTTATGATTTAATATTAATATTATGGTTCTTCTGAGTGTGCCAGTTCAGGTTCAGTTCAAAACACAGTTCAGATTTGTTTATTATAATGTGTTAAAAAGTCGTTTTGGGGGCATGTACACAGGTCGTTGTTTTAGGGGTGTGTTGCTTCATTGGTTTTGACTTCCCGCAATATGACGCTCTATACATTATACCCACACACATGTCTGTCCAAACAGCTTGAAAAGTAGATTTTTCACCATAGGTGCCCTTTAAATAGAAATGGTGTTGCTTTGGACACATTGTTCTGTTTATGCAAACAGGGCAACTACAGCAGCTGAGAAGTCCATTCAGAATTGTCGGATCCTGATGAAATGTGTTTAATGATGTAAATTATAGATATTCACTTCAGAAAAAAAACACCCCAATTGAGTGATGGGAAGTGGAAACTAAAACCTGCGATTTAAAATTAGCCTGGTGTTTCAGGATGAAAAGATAAACATTTCAGGTAAAGAATAACCCACTGACTGTACCTCAGAGACTGTATTAGGATCTATAAAAATGTAATAAATATTGTGAAGTTTATTATTAGGCTTTTCATTAGTGGTGATCACTGTGGTTGTGCAATAATAGTGTAATATTTAAAGTTTATATTGTAATAGAAAAGTTTCTAAAAGTTTTCCTCCACAATAGAATCGCAAAATATATAAATATCTCTATATTTTTTTTGTTACATTAATCAGTGTCTAGCAATCTTTCCTAGGGAGATAGACTGTAAGATGTTGCAATTACTACTGGGATGATATTTTTGACATATCCAACAAACAAAAGAAAACATTTCTCAAACTCCATGGAGCATCGATTTCAGGAAATTACATTCAACCTGTGTGTTTGTAAAAAAAACGTTAAAATTATTTTTCACTCAAAGCCGACCATTCTGTCATTTATTCACTCTTAACTTCTTCCAAATTTGTTCAGAAGATATTTCAAAGAAAGCTGGATACCTGTTTTCATTAACTTCCATAGTATTTGTTTTTCCTACGATAGAAAGTCAGTGTTTACAGGTTTTCAGCCCCCTTCAAAATATCTTCATTTCTGTTTAACAGGATAAAAATATATGGAACTACTTGAGGGCGAGTAAATATTGAGTACTTTATTGGGTGAACTGTCTCTTAAACATTACAAGTAAAACTCAACAAACATATTTGAATTTTTCAATTTTTGTATTTGGCAGGTGATTTTATCCAGAACTACTTACATTTAATTAAAAGTACACAACATGAGCATTGCTACCATGCTCTAAGACTTAAGCTACAGGCAAGCTGTTATTAAAATGAAAAAATACACATCACTGAACCATTAAATGTCTTTTTAAATTCGTCTTACAAGATGAAGAGAGTTTCTTAACAGAAGTGTTTATCTGTAGGGCGGGGCTTGAGCAGGAAGTTGAGCCTTTGGGGACTCCGCCCACACTCCACCGGCAGAGTTCTCTGAGCAGCTCATCACCAAGCTGTCATGATGACCAGCAGTCTTTGAGGAGGGTGAAGGTACAAAACTAAACCTGAACCGTATGTTCTTTAATTAAGAATCAGGAAAGATGACTATATTAGAGTTTGCACTAATAAGTAAGATTTTGTGTTTTGTCTTTTGCCGCTTTGAATGTTGACGCTCTGTAATGCAAGATAAATTCTGGTTGACTGTCAGTGTGTTTATTGTTTTTCAGCTGAAATGCATTTGTATACATTTTATTTCCACAGTATCATTCCAGTCTGTCATCATTTATAGTTACTTTTTTGTAGAAAAAACAGATCTAAAATTTATACTTGAAAGAAATTTGATCAGGTCTTTATAGAATAAAATAATGTCCAATATATCAACTGAAATGGAAAGATCACACGAGCCCTTCATTTTTCCCATAGCTATACAGGTCAAGGGTTGTCAAAATGATTGCCAATTTAGTGTGTGACTTAATTAATTCATGGCAATTCATGGCAATGTATGACAGTCAGTTTTCTCTTTACAAAAAAAGTCTAATACAGAGGTTTGAAAAGATCATTTAAAGCTCTCATCTGCTTCTTTAATGCTATATATATTTAGTTTTATATTTATCAACATTTTTAAGTCATTCCATTTTTTTATCATCATTTACTTACTCTCATGTTATTTTTCTGCAATAAATATTGCAATATAAAAACAATGGTTTCACAAGATGGTTTGAATATCTCTATTTGTCGTTTTTTTGAGGAGTCCAACAGTATTGAGTGATAGACATTGAATAATTACAATGCAAAAAATGCTTTTCTTACTTTGTCTCATTTCTAGTCCTAAACAAATTCTTAGAGCAAGTCAATTTTAAGAGTCTAAATAAGTCCAAATTTGGAGATTTTTCCTTAAAACAATCAAAACTATCTCTCTGTTAGGTAAGTAAAATAATCTTATTTTCAATTTGAAATGTACAGTAGATATTTACACTAGTAACTACAAAAATTCAAAGTAAGAAATTGTTTTCAACATATATCGTATAAAATTCTGTATAAATAAATGCAGTTCGTCTTTGTTACACCTCCAAACAGCGTCAAACTCTCTTGAAATGCTGAGTCACAGGCCTTAAAAACACATGTACAGGATACATTTTCACTATTTTATGGTTAAACTCAGCAAAGATGCTACAAATCAAGTGTGTTCTGTAGCTCCATGCCAACTATAATTCCGACTCAACATTGCAGATCTTACGATATATTGTGCAGCCCTAATTTAGATGATAGTAGTCAGTGGTGCTCTAGTGTTGTTTGGTTCATAGCATCATTTTTTGTGTTCTGAAGAATTATGACTTGAGGCGAATAATATGATTTAATGTTATTATTCTTTTGAGAACCATCTCTTTAAATGTGGTCATTCAATACATTATGAAACTCTTTGCACAACCATTATGTGCTCTCCTTGCAGGGTCTTTTTTCTGCAAAATCTTTGAGTGTATTTCTCAGTAACAAAGCATCCGCAGAGACTTAAGATTTGTATCATTGCTTGAATGATTCTTAAAAGTCAAATATTTGTAAAAGCACTGAATCAGAAATCTGATAGACCTGTTTCTTCCTACAGCAGCAGCTCGGTCTCAGCCCAAAGAATCTGACTGCACGGAACATCAGCCACCAGAGCAGATCTGGATCATTTCCAAGGAATGGACTTCAGGAGGTTTCGCTACAACGGGAGCGTTGCCCGGTTCGCCATTTTTCTGCTGCTGAGCTCACTAATGTCTGAGTCTCTCTCTTGTCAAACTACACCTGAAAACATGACATTTTCCTAATTCTCCCAGATAGGGGAGGATTTTATTTTACTTTTCAAGCTAAACTGAAGAAATCTCACATTTTCAGATTCTAGATTCAGTTTGCCAGTTGGCCTCAGCATTGTTTTGTAGACCTTATTTTATTGTGAAGGTAGACTCATTTGTCTCAAAGTGAGACCGTGTTAAGAATTCATTTGAAAAAATGTGTTCAGTTGGATGTTTTGTGAGATCTCCAAAATTTTCATTCTTTAAGTTGGATTTTCTTTTTTTCTTTTTTTTTGTTAAAGTAAGTATTTTTTAATTAATATTTTAAGAAATGATACTAGATATTAGATTTAATTAGAATTTACTATAAATGTTATGTTACATGGCACATTATTGTTTAAATTTAAAGTTCTGGTTCCACTTGGCTTTATACTGTTAGGAAAATTCTCACAGTTGTTTTATGCTGTTGTCGGATAAATATGGCCAGATTCATGAAAATTTTCTAAGGTTAAATGTTCAGTATTTTTTTAACCCTTGTGCACTGTTCAAATTTACTACCCTTTTGTTATAGGGATGAAAATATCCACTGAGTTAAGCTGCTTTAATTTAAAAGGCTAGTAAATTTGCCCAGTGTATCGTTGAGTACTTTAACAAATTTAAAGGATTTTGTTAAAATATGTGTCAAAATAAGTTTTTTTCACCAAAAATCATTCCGCTAGCTGAAACAGAGAAAAGTAATGGCCAAATTAAGACTCAAAATCACCCGAGTGGATGAAAACATCCCCAACAGTACATACAGTAAGGGTTAAAGGGATAATTCATCCCAAAATAAAACATTACCTCGCTATATATTTCCAAATCTTTGACTTTTTTTCCCTGCTTAACACAAATGGAGATATTTTGAGGTGTGTTGGAAACTGCTAACCATTGACATCAATAGTAATACTATTAATAAAAATCTAGATGTAATAAAGACGTGAATAAGGCTTTCTGCATCAGCAAACTTAAGAAAAGATCCTACTATTGAAGTCAATGAATACTGGTTTTTAACATTTAATAAAAATATCTTCTTTTGTGGTCTATAGAACAAAGAAACTCAAACAGGTTTGCGACAAGTCAAGGGTGAGTAAATTATGAAATCAATTGTATTTTTGTGAACTTTCCCTTCAAGTGCAATTCTGGAAAAAATAAAGAAAATCTCAAATTTTATAAGAACAATCTAAACAATCCTTAACGGGTTTTTCTCCAAGTTATTAAATAAGAAGTAAATTTCAGGAGAGGTCTTCTTAAGGTTTCATCAATCCGTCCCCAGGTCCTTAACTACTGGTCACTGCTCATGTTTGTCCAATCACAGTGGATAATTTTGTGTAATATGACATTTGTCTCTGAGAAGCCGTTTGCTTCTTATTTACCCAAACATTGCATTTTGTGTTCAAATTGTAAATCACTAATCTCAGTATCATCTAGCATGTTACCAACGTGAAGGTCAGACACATTGATAAGTTGCAGGGATTATTCTAATCATCCTAGTAATTGCGCAAAGATCACAGATATGACTGTTGGACATTCACACTGTTTATCAGGCCACTTCTAGTTTTAAAGAGGCCAACATGTTCAAAGACAACACATTCTCCATTTCAAAAGGTCTTTTGAGTTTAGTATTTCTCTTACACATTTCTAATGTCTGTAACAAATCACACCCTCAATAATCCCACAGGATTATTAATGTACTTTGTTATAGTGAAAAACATACGCAATGCTTTTCAGAGCACTCCTTGTTCTGTTTACTATAAGAGTTGAGTACTTTATCTTAAACAGGCACAGTTATGAGGAAGCAGCTTGCCTATACGGTCAACCTTTGTCCAACAGCATTAACAATGCCAGAATCACAGAAGGTAAATATTGCTGAGCGTTTGTTCCGCTCTAGGAATTTATGTTTGGATGAACCCCTTCTGACAGATTTATGTGGGTCTGGAAACCGGAGTGATTAATAAGACTGGTATCTTAAAACCTGTAAGAGATTAGAGACATTTAAATGTGATAAATTAAGTCCGTGACAGCATGCCAACACATCTACAGTCGCCCAGAAGATTATCATTAATTATTATACAGGCAAAATGACTGAATTATAAAGAGAGGAATAAAATGGTTCAACTGAAAAGAAAAAATTGCTGTTAATTTGCTCATCCTCGGGCCACTGGAGATGTGGGTGCTTTTTGTTTTTCTTAGGTTGAACTCTAAAGAAGATTTTTAGCTGAAATTGTTGTCCTTGGTGATTTATAAAATCCAAGTCAACAGCTTCTGGCAGTTTTTCTTTCACAATTTTTTTTCTTTTCTTTTGAGAGTCAAAAAAAGCATATGGCAAAATCAATACCACCTGGCGGATAAATTGAGCTCTTATAAAGCAAAACAAATCTTCCGTGAGCTCAAACTCCCACAAGAGCTGACGCTGTTTTTTAAAATGTCATGTTTGTTTAAATTGTTACGCAGGCAAAAGCTGAATCAAAATTGACTACTACTCATGAGGGTAATACATTTCAATTTGAACTTATCTAACGACTGTTCGAAAAATAAGTTCTGTATAGTATGATTTTGAGTAGAATTCAGAAACATCTACCGTTTTATCATTATTGTGTGACCTATGCTTCATTCCCATTCATAAATTCTCTCTTGTGGCCTCATGGTATATAGTAAAGCTTAATTTGGATGCACACTTCAGAATCTTGCCAGCAGTAATAGGTCATCCAGGTACTTCTTGCCTAATATTTTTCGAATATTATGAATTCAGTACTGTTTACTGTACTTTTCAATTTCTTTTAAATTCAGTGTTGTTTTTCACATACTATAAAGTATCGAAATATGCCATTTCAGATGTAGGGGAGAGCAGGGCACAAAGTAACTTAGGGTGAAATGTAACACAGCGTTTTAAGGTACTTGCTCAGCCTTAACCATGGCATGCTTTGTTATGATTTACCACAATGTTGGCAGACATTTTCTGCCAGTTATTGAAAAAGTTTGGCGAAATTTGAATGAATAACACAGGAGAAACCAGCATTATTGCAGCATAAAGTATTTTTATTATACTCAAAAAATCTGTAAAATGATGTAAGTAAAATCTTATATTGTGATTACCGTCTTCTAGGAATTTGAAAGATGGAACACAGAAATTGCTAGATAGTTTTGAGGAAAACACAACACGGCAGGGTTAGTTAGTAATAGGGTTTTACAAATAAGTCACATACTGTTGGACACCAATTGAACAAACTAAATATTTTTTTTAATTTTGAGTGTATTGTTGGAAACTTTTTTAATAAAAATGTATAAAAACTAATTCTATTCAAGTTTTTTATAGAAAAAAAGTAAATTTATTGCTAATAATGCAAATAAATGCATTGTATAATAATGCTAACAAATCCAAATATGTTTATCCAATAGATAATAAATAAGCATGCTGTTCTACGTAGAATAAAAAGAGGAAATACACTATCTAAAGTAAACCGAATTTAAATTAATTATGTGAAATCTGCCTTTTTAAGCATGTGTTACTACTAACCCTCTGTCTGTTACAATTTGCACCGCATTTGAGGTAAATAACATTTTTACTCCTGGCACTTTTGGCTATACTACACAGAAACCATAGGTCCGGCAATCATACTTTCAGTGCTCATTTGTAGGAGAGACTTGTGCATTGTTAGTAAAAAACATGGTTTGTCTAACCCCATTACTTTAATCATTATTTGGGCCAAAACCAAAAAGTGTTACTTTGTGCCCTGTTTTCCCCTTGCACAGCCCAATTCACTTGTTAAGTCTAACATCATACGAAGCAGCTTCTGGCTCTTACAAACTGTATGGGGAGGCTCAACAAAGAGTAATAATGAATGTTTACAAAGGCCTATAATATTTTAAAAATTCATGATCGCAATACAAATAACCATGTCTAATATCAGATAGCCAGAAAGTGATTATTTTTTAATATATTGTTAAAATGTTGCTGTGATGCAGAGACTGTTTTGTACACCATGATTTTAGATTTAAAAAATGTGTTATATGACTAAAAAGGGGTCATAAACTAACATTTTCCCAATTCAACTGAGTAGCAGCTTGGACTCACAAGCAGTAATCCTTACGTCACAACTTATGCAGAAGCAGATTGTTTCACTTCATAAAGCCTCAATATGTCAGGAGCAAGGTATAATTTAGTTTTCCATGTTTTTATTTCCAGTTTCTACCTAGTTTTAGATTAAAATCTTCTTTAGTGTTTTACTAAAGAGGAAAAAGGTCGTGTTTTTGAATGACCTCAGGTTGAGAAAAAGAACAGTCTTCATTTCTGGATGAACTATCCCTTAAGTCATAGTTGTTTCTTCAGTTATTACACTGGAAACCCTGATTGTAGTTTATGTTTTATTTAAAAAAAATAAAGTTTTATTTTAATTTGTATTATATTTTGTATTATATATCTTATTTTCAAACTCTTGAATAATGCATCAACATCTATCAGTTTTAATGAACCATGTCAGGGAATGGGAAACTTAAGTTTTCACCCACCACGCACGGCACATGGGCGGGGCAGCATTCACAGTGGGTCCGTTAAAGGGTTAATCCTGGACTGCAGGGACAGGAAGATGTTCGTGTTTGTGGAACTCAAGGCCAACCCGCTTTAAGAAGTTCAGCTTCACTTTCTTAAGGAATGTAGCAAATACTTCGCTGTACGTGTACATCTTTGGATTAAAAGAAGTGTCGTTGGACTAGGACAACGCAAGGAAGGGAAGTTTTCTCGGTAAGACTCAACACGCTCCCGGTGATCTCGAGGTTTGACTCGCTCTCCTCAAACTTTTCTTACTTTTCATCATCATACATTGCCTTCTCTGGGTTCCGTAGGCAGCATGGTTTGTTTGTTTTGTTTTCTTTTTTTTTTGTATGTTTAATCTGAACTTCGCCCTACAATAGAATATTTGATTTTGCTCTCCGTCAGTAGCCTAGACAACGGGATGATAAGTTTGGTGTCTTAATAACTACGTTAAAAATATTTAACAGTATTTATTTACTGTTTAAAAATATTTTCTTTAATCTCCTTTAAAGGCTACAAACCCTGTGGAGTAGAGATAGAAATAAATCTCAACAGTATTTGGACAATTTTCATTGATACCTAAAGATGTTCAAATCTGAGTAACGTTAGATTTTGATTTCTTAAAGGGGACGTTTACAGGACTTTGTCTTCACGTATTTCTACACTTTTTGTCTTGATTTACTTACTTATTTTTGTTACATAAAAGGTAAAGGATTGAAACAAATTATGGACAGACAGCCAGGTTCAATTCAAAATTCCAAAACTGCATACATGTTCACAATGCTGTGTAGACTAATGTTTCTCAATGTAAATATTCACAAGACAAACAACTTCGGAATTTGAGTTATGTTGCACTTTTTGTAAAACTTGTTTTGACACCTTTGTAGGGCAGAACGATATTGGACAAATCTGACATTGCGATATATATATTGCAATATGAGTATAATTTCACCAGATGACTTGAATAGCTCTATTCGAAAAGATTTCATTAATTTCGGTTGACTAGGGTGATCAAGTCTTTTTTTATGCCTTAACGTTACATCTGCATAAAATCGAAAAAATCATTCATATATAAATATGACAGAAGACGAACAAAGGTTAAATAAACAGTGTGTTATGGTTATCACTGTATAAATAATTGTATATTGTTAAAAATCTAATCATACGATGTGACTATTGCAGATACAAACATTGCGATATTGATGCTCAAATGATATATTGTTCAGCCCTAATACCTTTCAATTGTTGTTCCTTTATTGACATTTTTGTCATGTATTGTGTGGTTAGGCTTGGGCCAGTATAAGATTTTGGCGGTATAAAAATCTTGAATAAAAATATCACGGTCTCACGGCATCATGGTTTTGTGATTACTGCTCTAAAATATATTCTTTTTACTATAAAACTTTTTTTTCCCATTTGAAAACAATATATTTTATTTCTTGAAAGATTTATAATATTTTGGAAAAGAAGACATGTCAGGATGAATAATTAAAAAAAAATGGTAAAATGGTATCTTTGGATGTTTTTTTTCTGCTGAAGTTACTGTTGTCCTTAAAAAAGTAAATAAAAACACCTGACACATACTTTAGGTATGGTATTATAGATAATGTTGGCTGTGTTAAAACCTTGACATTTCCAATCCGATGTATACCTTGAAAACGTTTGTCCCATACCCATGTGTGGTGTGGGTAAATATTCACGGTTTTCATTTTTGTGTGAACTGCCCCTTTAAATTCCAATGGTACTTTTTTTGTGAGTGTATAATTACTTCCAAGATGTACACATACCTTCTGAATACCATGTCTAGAAAATAGGGGTCTCTCAAGAATTCCTGGATCCCTGGTGCAGTTTTATAGCCTTGATCTCCCTTGGCTGAATATGTCTTCCCCCAGTTTGGTGCCCCTGTGCAACGTGAATTTATGTGGCACTCTTTTCTTGTCTAATCTGGGCCCCTTGGCCTTTTTGAAAGAAGGAAATTCCTGCCATTCCACATCTTGGATTAACTATCATCATTTTATCTCTCTGCGTGCTTAGACGTGCTCAGCAAAATCTATGTTTTGTATCTATTTCAGTCAGGTACACTTCTGAACCTCACTTTTACAGAAAGGAAGTTGCATTCAACAAGTCAAATGTGCCAGGGTGAAATTATACCTGTCGGTGCAGACCTTAATGAGACAGAGCTTATGAGCAACTGCCCACACTTTTCCAAACACACATCAAAACTGATGAATCACCGCTGAAGGAAATGCATCTCATCATTAACCATCTTATCTTTAAGTACAAGATTTACACCGATCTAAACGCATGATGTTGCTTCCGTGCTGAGAAATGATAAAGGGTGTGGTAAAAAGGCTTATTCCAGACCTGCCTGCACAGATAACCAGGAGCTGCGTAGGCATGACAGTGCAGAGTTATGATGTGCTTTCCTTAGTGTCTATGTGACGGTTAAACAAAACGCACACTGTCCGTAGAGATATTTTAGTTTTGTTTTGGGGGTTTTTCAGCCGCCTGCCATTTCCCTTCAATGTAAACCTTCCTGAGCGGAGATGAAATTTCACCAAAGTCTGTGTTTAGGAAAGCAGTGAACTCTCTCACTTCACTCCTGAATCAAACTCTTTCTTTCTTCCAGTTTCACGCACCTGTAACTGAAGCTGAGCAGGAGGGACTCCTGCTTAATCTCGGGAGGGAAGTTAGGCCAGTCTAACATGTTCACCGATATGTGTAGACAATAAATAATGTTTGATAAAACCTTATCACTCCTGAAGCTTAGGCCGCTATTGCGCTATGCTATTTTAACACAGGCTTTATGGGGCATGTTGACGTTTATTGATATAAAACTCTCTTTTATGATAGTCTGTCTCATTCATCCATCACTTTTTTGATTAACCGCCTGATTTTCTGTTCACAGAATGGGTCAGTGCTCCAGGAAAAGCAGAAACGAACAATGAAATAAGCCAAAGTTTTAGACATTACAGCAGCCATAGGACAAAATAAAATCAGTGTCTGGTGGAGATTGGAGTCCATGGTAAGGTTTGGAAACATGTCCTACAGCGACCAGACCCCACCCAACCCCAGGAGGCCCAACGGCAGCAACTCTGGGGCTCAGTATGCGACCGCTGCTTTAGGAGTAGGGCTCATCGCACTAGGGATCGTTATGATTGTGTGGAGCGTGGTGCCGGCAGCTTCTGGAGGGAACAGCTCGAAGCCGGGCATGAACTCTGGACAAGTTCGGGAGACCTCGTCCGTGGCTTTCGTCCTGGTGGGGGGAGGAGTGGCGCTGCTGTTGCTGTCTGTGTGTTTAAGTGTACGGAACAAACAGCGGGCGGCCAGGGGACAGGAAGCCGGCAGTACACCCTCCAACACACAGGAGGAGGGGGCGACGTGAGTACATACTGTTAAATACACAACCACTGTTAAATTCACATTTGTACACTTTGTCATGTTGTAAGGGACAATGATGTGAATCTTTTTGTTGTTGTTGTTGTTTTTTTCTAAAATGCTATTTATACATTTAGTGATTTGAATGCATTTTTTTAGATTTGATTATTATATTGTTTTATATTTAATCATATTATATTTTATTGTAATATATTTTATCGTATTTCATTACATTACATTATATTTTAATTAAATTTAATATTATATTATATTATATTATATTATATTATATTATATTATATTATATTATATTATATTAAAGATTTCCCAATCGGAATAATGAAAATATAGTTTTTTTTAAATCCATATGTTTATCAGTATGGTAATTATGTCTTTAAATGATTGTGTCTTTGTTCCTAAGAAAACTGAACAAAACGTTTTGGCTTTAACAACACTTCTACCTATTTATATTTGGAGAACAATTGTCTTCCAAACGGTGTTATAAGGTCCAACAAACATGCAGGAGAAAATGGCAGGAAATGATATCATAGAGTGACACCTGCAGACTCTCATGGCTGTGTCAGCGAGTCTCTTAAAATATATTATTTGTCATGGTTGGCTCAGAATGTAAAATAACTTGTGGTAACTTCCAAACAATTGTGTATACATGTATACATGTTTATTGTTGCCATGATAAATAATATAAATATATCACAGGTAAATAATATTCGACTAGATATTTTTCAAGACACTTCTATACAGCTTAAAGTGACATTTAAAGGCTTATCTAGGTTAATTAGGTCAACTTGGCAGGTTAGGGTAATTAGGCAAATTATTGTATGACAATATTTTGTTTTGTAGACTATCGAAAAAAAATAGCCCAAAGGGGCTAATAATTTTGTCTTTAAAATGGTGTTTAAAAATGAAAAGCTGTTTTATCCTAGTTGAAATAAAACAAATAAGACTTTCTCCAGAAGAAAAAATATTATCAGACATACTGTAAAAATTCTCTGCTGCTCTGTTAAACATAATTCGGGAAAATAATAAAAAATAATAATTAAAAAAATCATAGGCGGGCTAATAATTCTGACTTCAACTGTATGTATGTATGTATGTATGTATGTATGTATGTATGTATGTATGTATGTATGTATTTGTGAGTGTGTGTGTGTGTGTGTGTGTATGTGTGTGTATATATATATATATATATATATATATATAGTTGTAGTCAGAATTATTTATTAGCACCCCCTGTTCTATAATTCTTTTAAAATGATGTTGAACAGAGCAAGGAAATTTTCACAGTATGTCTGATAATATTTTTTCATCTGGAGAAAGTCTTATTTGTTTTTATTTCGGCTAGAATAAAAGCAGTTTTTATTTTTTTAAAGCCATTTTAAGGTAAAAACTATTAGCCCCTTTGAGGAATTTTTTTTATAGTCTACAGAACAAACCATCTTTATACAATAACTTGCCTAATTACCCCAACCAGCCCAGTTAGCCTAATTAACCTAGTTAAGCCTTTAAATGTCACTTTAAACTGTATGGAAGTGTCTTGATAAATATCTAGTTAAATATTATGTATTATCATCCTGGCAAAGATAAAATAAATTAGTTATTAGAGATGAGTTATTAAAACTATTATGTTTAGAAATGTGTTGGAAAAATATCTTCTCTCCATTAAACAAAAAATTGGGGGGAAAAATAACCGGGGGGCTCATAATTCTGACTTCAACTGTATATGTTAAAAACATAGATTTTGCGTGTGTGTGACTTTAGTCATTCAATTTCCTTCAGCTTAGTCTCCCTATTGATCAGGGGTCGCCACAGCGGAATGTGCATATCCATCAACATATCCAGCACATATTTTACACAGCGGGTGTCTTTCCAGCTGCAACCCAGTAGTGGGAAACACCCATACACTCTCACATTCGCCCACACATACACAAAGGCCAATTTAATTAATTCAATTCAACTATAGTGCATGTCTCTGGGAGAGAGGCCCACCCAGAGGAAACCCACACGAACACTAGGAGAACATGCAAACTCCACACAGAAATTCCAACTGACCCAGCCAGGACTTAAACCAGAGACCTTCTTGCTATGAGGCGACAGTGCTAACCACTGAGCCACCATGCTGCCTGACTTTAGGAGTCATTAATTTTAAATGTTAAGTGTCTATTTTTATTACCTTTTTTCACTTGAACATTATTATTACTTATGTTTAAAATATGGGTTTGGCAAGATATTTTTTTTAAGAAGTATGGATGTTCTGATACCCTTTTTCCTTTCCCGATACCGAGTACTGAAGTGTATCTGTAGAAACAGTTATGTATACTACTAACCCTGTATAAATTTATAACCCAGAATTAATTTATGGTCTGCTTCAGACTTATCCATTAATAAAACACATACAGTTAACTAGAGTGTTTTTATGTGATATTTTGTTATTAGACATTCTTCAGTAGGCCGACATGGTGGCACAGTGGGTAGTGCCATTGCCTCACAGCAAGAAGGATGCTGGTTCGAGCCTCGGCAGGGTCAGTTGACATTTCTGTGTGGAGTTTGCATGTTCTCTGCACGTGTTCACATGGGTTCCCTCCGGGTGCTCTTGTTTCCCCCAAAAGTCCAAAGACATGCGCTATAGGTGAATTGGGTATGCTAAAATTGACCGTAGTGTATGAGTGTGTATAGAATTTTCCCAGTGATGGGCATCCGCTGCGTAAAACATGATTGATAAGTTGATGGTTCATTCCACTGTGGCAACCCCAGATTAATAAAGGGACTAAGCCGAAAAGAGAATTGAGGAATGATCATTTTACAGTAGTATTATTTACTGTACTTTACTGAAGCAATTTCAGCCAAGAATAAAACACTAAACTAAAAAAAAATCCATTCAAGTTTTACAGTATAATTGTATAAAAATTTGTACATAAAATAAAGAAATACAAAAATGAAATAGTGCATCACCCTCTTCTTCTTCGCTGTTCTAACAACAGTGGTTGTTGTGGCAACAAAGCACAGCTTCCTTTGTTTGCATTTTGAACAGCGAAGAACTGACTCTGGGTTTGCAGTGTTAAGCAATGCTAGCGAGCATGTGTCTCATTTAAAAACATAGTATTAGATCGGTTTATAATTTCAAATACTCACTGATGCCGGAATTTTTGTAGTGACCACTTTTTAGTCATATCACAGATCAAAGTGAATCTTATGTGAAATCATGGTGTAAACAACAGATCGGCCTTACAACATCACAGACACCAATATATATATATATATATATATTACAATTGTGATTTTCAATTGTGTATTACGTCGCTTTGTTACCATTTGTTGAGTCTCCCCATATAGCTTGATGTAGCGCTTGGACCCGGAAGCAACTTTGTTTAATGTCATACTTAACAAGCGGATAGCTCTTTACGACTTGGCTGGCAAAGATGGCGGTTACTCAGAACGTGAGGGATTATCAGAAACAGCCCACCATCTTCCAGAACAAAAAAGGGGTTCTGGCAGTTGAAGGAAGTGGCAAAGAAAAGCTCCCTCGTTATCACAGAAACGTCGGATTGGGCTTCAAAAACCCCAGAGAAGCTATTGATGGCACTTATATTGACAAGAAATGCCCCTTCACTGGAAACGTGTCCATCAGAGGCTGGATTCTCTCCGGTGTGGTGACCAAGATGAAGATGCAAAGGACCATCGTCATCAGACGGGACAACTTGCATTACATCCGCAAGTACAACCGTTTTGAGAAGAGACATAAGAACATGTCTGTCCACCTCTCCCCATGCTTCAGGGATGTGACTGTAGGTGACATCGTTACGGTTGGAGAATGGCAAACTCTTAGCAAGACCGTGAGGTTCAACGTCCTGAAGGTCACCAAGGCAGAAGCAGTTCCAGAAGTGCTAGAACTGTTGTTTTTACAATATGGCTCCCCTGTGTTGTTGAAAAAAAAAACCTAACAAGCGTATATGCTGATCTGATGCTCAAGACACATTCCGTAATGTCGTCAGTCTTGGAAAATAGTATTGCTACTTTTTTTCCCTTGATTTTTTTTTTTTATAAAAATGTCTTTGTTGCTTTTCATATATCTGACCTCAAATGCTTGAATAATGGTGTATATTAAGCGTAATACTCTAAGTATAATTGTAAACATGCATGTGTTTATATGTCTAGGATGGATCAACTAGCTCATAGCTACACAGTCCCCACTTACGAGGAGGTGGTTACAAGTGGTCAGTATCCCATCAGTCAGACCTCTGAGCGCCACAACAGCATCACTCAGCTGCCAGCCTACGAAGAGCTTGAAGAAGGCCAAAACAACTTAGGAGATACCTCCAGTCAAGCTCGCAGATCTTCATCCCAAATCGATCCCAGCACTGGAGCAGGACCCCGCAGAAACAGCCGTCCTGGTCGCAAACTAATTCCACTCAAAATTAGGCGCATTAAATCCGACAACCTAAGAAGAAAAAGCTTAAGTGATATACAACAGAGCAACGTGTTCACTATTGAACCTCTCACACCTCCACCAGAGTACGACAATAAGCCTCCTCAGTTTCCTCCAAACACTGAACAATGACCAATATTGGCATGTCCCGTGATGAAGTTTGTTTTCACATTTATGAAATGCTAAAGCACTGAATTGTATTCTTCTCTGGACATGTGTTCTGCGCCACAGGAATACAGAAGAAGCAGTGTTTGGTTGGTTGTACATTTTGTGTTTGTTAGCCAAATGCTAAAGCTAAAAACAAAACACTTAATAAAATGTTGTCTGTAGCTGATTGGACTAAAAGCGTACTGGATATTCGAGCATTGTTTACTGAAGAACTTGGTCTTGCAGTTGCCGTTAAACTTGAACTTCTCCATCCAGACTTTTATTTCATAGGACGTCCGCGAGATTTTGGGAAATGATGTGAAAGTGTAAGCTGTGATTCACATCGGCACTGTTGCGTTTTTTGCACTGATGCGTGTGTGTGTTTGTCAGGTGTGAGTGCTATTTTTGTACATTTTTTTCCTTGAATTTGTATTTTGTGTTGGCTTTAGGTTTCTGTGTTTGTGTGCAAGTATGATTGTTCTTGGTGACCTTGTTGCTGGAGTGACAAACTGTGAGGTCATCAGTATGTGTCTGCTCATGGTTTACGACACAGAGAGGTTCTTTGACCCTGCAGCTGCCTTATATCACTCTCTCTCACCAACACACACCACCAGATACAGAGAATTTCTTGTCTTCCATTTTCACTTGGATGCACAAAACACTTGCTCTTTTCATTCTTTTATTTTGTAACTTTTTAGTTGATTTGTGAGAAGACAACTGTGTTTCTTGTAGGGCAGCTGTGGCTTCTTCATGCTGTAGGGTTCAAGCTAGCTGTCATCTGTGTGCACCTGCGTTACTCCTCTACACACTTCAGGATTGTCACATTAAGACACAGTCCGTTGCTGATTAATATTGAAGTTGATATCTCTCTTTTTTTCTGGAATTTTTGATGACACTGCAGTTTAATGTAAAATGTTGCTGAATTTCATGTGCTATTTAATGTTTCTATTGTTGATTTTGTAATATTATATTATGGTTTGACAAATAAAAAAATGTTTTGCATACGGATGTTTTTGATCTAATATTAAAATGTTTGTTTTATGAGGGATACTAAACTATTAAGTGAATGAACAATAATGAGATACACAATACATTTAATTCTCCTGAACATTTTCTTAATAAAAAAAATCGTTGATTTTTAGATTATGGAAGAGTTAAGAAAATCTATTTCCATGAAATCTGTTGTGTACAACTAAAATACAAATAGTTTTTTTTTTTTTACTTTTGGATTATAAATTAACATTTTTATTCTAAATGAAGGTATTCAGTCAACATTGTAGCCCTAGTGTCTACATAGTGTTTTTTTTTTTTAAATAAAAAAACATTGAAAGCAAAAAAGGGAATAAGAAGATTACATGGAAAGTTAGCTGTATTCTGTTAAATTTTAACCATAGTATAACCATGGTAATTTGATTAGTAGTAAAATACGAAACGGAAATCAATACACCTAAATGTTTTGAATAATGGGGAGGGACTATTTATTAGTTTTACAAACAAAATCTATTTTTATTTAGTATTTTTCGGCTTTGTTGAGTGATTTTGTAATGCAGGATGAGTGAGCAAAGATTACTTTGTTTGGGTGAGTCACGGAATAGTTCACTCAACTGATTCGTTTAGTGTAGGGCGTATCCCTTTCGTTGTTTCAACCAATGAAAGTTTCTCTCACGTCCTATTGGTGATACTATTGGTCATTCTGTATCCAGCCGGGAAAAGGCATGGAGACGGCAGCTTCAACCGAATAAAGGATTTTTCCTCATAACGTTTTTCATAAACACCGTCAGTTGATTGAATTTTAGGTTTTAAATAAAGGTTTAACTTGATACTAAGTGGTGAACTGGTAAAAAAAAATTGTATTTCAGATTTCAACACCTGCTTCTGTCCTCTCTAAGACCGGTAAGTTAAACACAATCCATTGCTGTATTGAAGCTGCTATGTTAGTAACGCGAACGTTTCACACAAAGCTGTTATTTGTTACTGCTAAATAGTAAACAGCATAAACTAACTACTTAATCATGTAGCTGATAGATTTTGGTTTGAATAGCATAAACATTACGTCTAAATTGTCTGCCAACAACTTGAAAGTGTTGAAAGTTGTGCAGTAGATATTGAACCATACTGTATAACAAAGTGTTCCAGGTTTGGTGCCCTCCTTCTTTGAATGATGGCGTCTTCTGACCTTTTCTGGAAACAGGAAACAGCATGCTCTCTTGCTTATTTATTATTATTGATTTTTTGTTTCACATTATAATAACTACTCTGTGACCAGTAAAAATATGTTGTAAATTGTATAAATATGGGTAGTATGAATCAAAATCAGACATACTACTTTCCCCATGTTTTTGGGGTTACTGTCATCTGACTTACTGGCTTTGTCACTTTACACCCATTCACAAGCAGTAAATTGTGACCTCAGTGGATACTAAAGTGTCCATTAGATACAGTAGATGCACATATAATCTTATCAGCCAGATATATTTTTTTCTCTATTACTTTTGAGTATCCAGAAATATTTATTAGATACTGATTTTTACATTTAGAGAATGGGAATCTACAGTCTTATGCAAAAGTTTGGGCACCCATGATAATTTTTATAAATGCCAGCCATAACCTGCTGGACTTTCAAATCAGCAAATTCCATTTGGATATATTTTATCCCCTATGGAAAAAGCAACATTTCAGTTTTGACATAACATTTATTTAATCAACACATGGAATACAATTTTGGGCCATTCTTCCTTGCACAATTTCTCCAGTTCAGTCAGGTTTGATGAGTGCCAAGCATGAATTACCCATTTCAAATCAATCCATAGGTTTTCGATGATGTTCAAGTCTGGGGACCAGGATGGCTATTTTAGAACATTGTATCATGTCTGAGCAGGAATTTCTTGGAACTGTGCTTTGGGTCATTGTCTTGCTGAAACATCCAACCCTGCCGTAACTTCAGCCTCTTGACTGAATCCTGAACATTGTTCTTCAGAATCTGCTGATACTGGTTGTATGATGGATTATCCACCATATTTTACAGTAGGGAGCATGTTCTTCTAGAATGCTGTGTTTTATTTCTGCCATGCAAAAAAAAAAAAAAAAACTCCTATGGTTGTGGCATCTGTCCACAGTATATTTTTCCAAAATGATTCAGGCTTGTCTAGATGAGCCTTTGCATACCTCAAATGACTTCTTTCTCAGAAAAGGCTTCTTCTGCATTACCTTCCATTGAGCTGTTCTTTGTGAAGAATGTGGTTAACTCTGAAATGATTTACAGTGACATTATTAGCAGCAAGATATTCCTGGAGCTCTTTGGAGGTGGTCTGTGACCATTCTAGCCATTCTTTGCCTTAGCCTTTCAGATATTTTTCTTGGTCTAGCACATCTTTTCTTCAAAAGAACTGTTCCTGTGGCCTTTATTTTTTTTAACTTTATTTCTGACTGGAGGGGAAGGTTTCCAAACTTTTGCATAGTCTATTTTTCAGTTTCAATTCAATTTCAATACTGCAACATGGCGTATTTCTGTCTAAAAAACATGACATTATCTAGCTTTCTCTAGAAGCCCAATGACATTTGACTGTAATCTTCTCTTATGAAAAAAAGAGCACATAAATATGCAGCCACAGAGGGGTGCCCAAATTTTTTTATAAAACTGTATGTCATGCAAGTTGGTTTCACCTGTTCTTAAAGAGCATCTAATGCAAATCACCACAGAAAAAGTTGACAGTTTTATAATAATACATTTGAAAAATATCTTACAAACTCACCATAAGACTAATGATCGTTGTGGCTTGTGGCAACAACAACAGTTTCATGCCAAAGTAAAAGTTTGATTGTAAACAAATGTGCTTCTCACAAATGATTGAAATCCAAACTGTTTAGACTTATTTTGTGATATTAGCAAGATTTATTATAAGGAGATCTATAGATAAACATAGACTATAGAAGATTTAAATTCTGAATATTTATGCCACTATTAATAGATAAGACAAATTGAGTAACTAAACACTGACTCTCACCTGCATTGCTTCCTATGCAGATCCTTTGATAAAATGTCTCTTTTTACTGTTAGATGATGGTAGTTTAATAAAGAAGGGGTTACTTTAGTCTAGACATGAAACAGCTGGCCTGGATTGCTATATTGTAGTTGTCAATGAAGAGCTATTTATCTTATGTTGTGAAGGATAAATCAACAGGATCTGTCAGCCAAAATGTCACTCATAAATGAGAGATGGTCAGTTTGAACACACCTGGAGGCATTGACTGCTTGACCTTCTACTGGGGTAAAGAGAGATTTTGTTGATGGAGGAAGGAAGAAGACTCTTGTCAAGATTAGGGTGAAGATAAGTCCTTCAGCTTGATATGTCCATAAGGCATGTAGAGGTCCTTTTGATGCGATTATTGTTTCAAAAGTAAAGCAAAGGTTCACCTTTTTTATGAAACAAAAATGTAATTGTTACCTTTTTTTTCTTACTCCAAACTGAAAAGTAATCTGTAATTTTGAGAATTGTGAAATAAACTCAAAATTGTTAATTAATAAATTACAAAAATGTAAACTCAGAATTCAGACTTTTTAGTCAAAATTGTGGATTATAAATCTTTATTGCAAGATAGAAACTTGCCTTTTCTTGTAATTCCAAATTATGTAATTTACTTGGAATTCAGGGTTTTGTTTATATACTGTATAGAGAGTATGCACTGATGTCACTTTCCCACGTGTACAGGCCCGTACCTGCCCCCATGAGGGGTTATATATTCTAAAAAATGTACTAGAGGCAACTGCAACACAAGATAACGGACAGTAGTCGACCTAAATTAAATTTAGTAAGACTGTAACCCACCATATAATAAGCAAATGTTTTTTTATCTGCTTGCACTGTATATTTATTTATATTTCAGATTTACATCAACTGAAGTTAGCCAAAGTGAGTGATTATTAACAGCAAAATTCCAATGTGTTTAGTAGAAACTTTAAACATGATCTGGAGAACTATTAGCATCAGGCAGATGATACAGACTTCTTTAGTGATCAACAATACTTATAAGCTGTGCCTACATCAGTCTAATTTTAAACGCTATCCTTTTTTCTTCTGTCTGCTTTGTGTTACACTACTGGTAAGAAAAATCTGTTTGTCTTGCCTAACTTCAGATTATCCATCCCGCATGCTCTTGGAAAATGGATGTTTTTTATGGGGGCTGAATGACATAACTTTTCAAAGCTGTAATAAAAATGCCCAGAACCGTGGGAGCAGAGCAAGGCTTATGAGCCACACCAGTGGCCTGCATGGGACAATCTGACTTTAATTTTCTCTGAATTCTATTAAGGGAAAAATGTGATGAAAAATATTTATATTTTTTGTCATGCACAGAAAATGGATTACATCAAATATCTTCAGATTATTGTTTTTCCATATGAAAGAGGTATTTATCTAAATAAATAAATACAATACTTGTATGAGTATTTAAAATAAGTGTGTGTTTGTGTCTAGTATAAGTAATGTTTTGTTAGTCAAATGAACTAATCACATTTCTACCGAGGTTAATTAAGTCAATTCATTGCATTTAGATACACCTTCAGAGCTTCAGTGATCATAGCATGAGTTTGTGCAAAAGTCTTGCTGAAGTACATATTTTGCCATGACCAGTTGTTCCCAACAACAACAACAACAAAAAAACATCAGCCCTCCTTTAATTTTTTTTTCTTTTTTAAATATTTCCCAAATTATGTTTAACAGAGCAAGGAAAATTTCACAATATGTCTGATAATAATTTTTAATCTGGAGAAAGTCTTATTTGTTTTATTTCGGCTGGAATAAACACATTTTTTTTTTAAATCCATTTTAAGGTCAAAATTATTAGCCCCTTTACGCTATATATTTTTTCAATGGTCTACAGAACAAACCATCTTCATACAATAAATTGCCTAATTACCCTAACCTGCCTTGTTAACCTAATTAACCTAGATAAGCCTTTAAACTTCCCTTTAAGCAGTATTGAAGTGTCTTGATAAATATCTAGA